GTCTTGCAGCGGTCACTTATAAAAAGTTCATTGCAGGACATTGTGGCTTGAATGGCATCAATGATCACTGCATAACTGGCCACCAACGACTTAATTACCATTTGTATGAAAAAGTCATGAACGACTTCCATATAAATAAACGGAACCCAAAGTCATTGGAAACTTAAGATGGCCGTACAAGACACTTAAGTGATTAATGCATGAAATTCGCTACGGGTAAATAAAGTCTGATAAAATACAATACATACCTATGTATCTGAATTTCGTTGAATTACTCAGTGCTACAAAAAAGAATAAAGCAGTCAATGTCTGGGAAGTTGTGTATATTTTCTGGTAGGTATTTTCGAGTAAAACCAGAATCAAAATATGAGATTTGCCAAACACCCCTGAAATCTTGATTTACCGTTAAAAATCTGGTTTTTCGTACCTGTGCGCACTTATAAGCCTGTAACTTAGTTGATTATGAACCGAGTTTCAGTTTAAAAAGAAAAAACTTGGGCCTTTCGAACGATATATACATATGTGAGTAAAGAAACCTTAAGAGATCTGTGTGTATTTACCCAGCAAACATATTTTTTGTTTATACCCGAGCGCAATTGTGAACCACTTTTATAACTTTGTTCATATAACGGATGTTTGTAACAGGCAAAACGAATCGAGATAGATATAGCCAAATGTATACATAAATGATCAGAATGAAGAGAGAAATCGATTAAGCGGTGACTGTCTGTCCGTCCGTCTGTTCGTCTGCGCACACGATAACTCGAGTAAAAATCGAGATATCTTAACGAAACTTTCGGGCGTAGGACAGATGGTATTGAAAATGGGCAAAATCGGACAATAACCACGCCAACCTCCCATATAACGGTAATTTTCGGAAATACGAAAACTGCGATATTTTAGTAACTACTGAAGATTATTCACTCAAAATTGATATTTACAATAATTTTGTGGCACCGCCCACTTATGATCACATATATGTATCTCGGTAACCGTTCTACCAATTTGTACCAAACTCGGTATGGTGATAGTGCTTGCTACATAACAGCAAAACGTTGAAAATTATTGAAATCGGACTAAAATTGATGCCGCTTTTCATATAACGGTAAATTTCAGAAATGCTTGAAACTTCAATATTTCGAAATTTAAGGACGATATTTTAATAATTGATACTACCCGGCTTACCATGTGGCGGTAGCTTTCGGAAAGGTGAAAAACATATATTTAAAACTTGCGCCGGGTATTTAATGTTCGGCTCCACCCGAACTTAGGCTTTCTTACTTGTTACTTTTTTCGCCTTTTTTAAATCTTGGTGAGGGTTTCACACACTATTTTATAAGAAACCCATACGAGTTCTAAATTTATTGTAAAATTTAATTTAATAACGAAAAAATCTAGTGTTTATTTTCAAAAATCAGATGAAAGTTTACCGAGTTATTAAACATTTTATGAAAACAAAGCTTGTGCAAAAATATTATTTTTGACTATACTACTCAAAAATGTTTTCTTGGCCGTTTTTTCTTAACTCAGCATTATCAGTTTCTCATTGTAGTGACCAGCAATATTCTGAAATTTTCTTATTTTATTTCTTCCTCCGAAACGCTTTTTAATTGTAGCTATTTCTTGGTGAAAGTGTTCACCTTGTTCATCACTGAACCGGCCCAAATTATGTGGGTAGAAGTCCAAATGCGAATGAAGGAATTGAATTTTTATGGACATGTTATATGTAACCCATTCCACCGTAAGCTTTCAAAAATTCGTTAACAACCGTGACATAGTCATTGCTTCTGTGGTTTTCAAAGAAATTATTGCACGTCGCTCATAATTTTACGAATTTGAGGTCCTATGAAAATGCCTACAATTCATTAAAAGAGATAAAACCGATGATAAAGTACTAGATGGGAGACTAAAAAATGTATTACCTCTTTTTATTTTGGCTACACTTAATTTTGAGTTACCACTTTAAGATGACAAAAAGCGTTGCTATTTGCATCCAATATTTTTACAAATTATGGGTATTCTCGGAGTCTTGCAAAGCCCTTACACGGTACATGGATTGCACGAAAAAAAAAGGTTTTCTTATGGGACAGCTTTGCAGACCGTGCAATCCGTGCACCGTGCAAGGGCTTTTCAAGACTGCGAGAATAGTTTCATACATATATCCTAGCCATAAATGCAGGTGCAGGTTTAGAACGTTTTTCCGGCCTATTTAATGCGGCTCTTGGGACGATCATACTTGTCGATCATAGAAAACGCCAAATTAAAACAAAAACGGTCAAGCAAAAATTTTTGAGCTGTATAGCCAAAAATAATATTTTTTTATCATTATTTTTTTTCATAAAAAGTTTAATAACTCAGTAAACTTTCGTCGGATTTTTTAAGATAAACCCTAGTTTTTTCGTTATTAAATTTAGTTTTACAATCAATTTAGGGCTAGTATGATTTTCTTATAAAACAGTGCGTAAAAACCTCACCAAAATTTAAAAAGGCGAAAAAACTTAACAAAAAATGTGTTTGCTGGGTAAATAAACACAGATCTCTTAAGACTTCGCATATATATCGTTGGAAAGACCAAGTTTCTGCTTTTTAAACCCGGCAATAAACTGAAACTCGGTTCATAATCAACTAAGTTACAGGCTCATAAGTGCGCAAAAGTACGAAAAACCGGTTTTTTAACGCTCAATCAAGATTTTGGGAGTGTTTGGCAAATTTAATATTTCGATTCTTGTTTTATTCGAAAAGACCTACCAGAAAATATACATAACTTCCCAGGTATTTTTTGGTGTCGCACAGTATCTATTATTGACATGTATACATCTTTGGTTTCGGTAGGGCTAAAATTTGCGAAGATGTAACGCATAGCGCAGCAAAAAATTTCGAAGGGCTAGACAGAGACCAACACATGGTGTTTGTCTCAGTGGGTAAATTTGGTCGAGTGCCTTGGGGTACGGGGGGCCCAGTTGGTAACCAGTAGGATCAGTTGGTAACTAGTGTTTGGAGACCAGTTGGTAAGGAGCCTGAGCCCAATCAGGGACCAGTTAATTAATACCTATTGCAAAATTTTATACAGACAAGACTAAAAAGTAGAAAATAAATAAAATAAAAAAACTGTTTAGTATACCATGATTTTATAAATGGACTAAAAAGTAGAAAATAATATTTCTCAGTCCCATAGAATTTGTTTTGATAACTTTTGATTTTGAAGTTTTAGCAAAAGTCATTATAAACAATTTATGACATTGAAAATGAAAATCGTGGGGCGCATGTAAAAGACTTGAATTGATATGAAAAGTAATAAATGTATGTACATATGTGGGTATATGAATAACGATCGCTTAAAATCGATCTCAAATTTGTACTAGCGCTGTAGAAATTTTAAAGCTTTGTTATGTAGTTTGACTATTGTCAATTAAATCGAATGCTTTGTATGGCATGCGCTCCATGTTTTTCGTTTTCAATCTCATAAATTGTTTATAATGACTTTTGCTATAATTTTAAAATCAAAAGTTGTCAAAACAAATTCTATGGGATTGGGAAATATTATTTTCTACTTTTTAGTCCATTTATAAAAGCGTTGTATATCAAAAAGTTGTATTTTATTTTATTTATTTTCAACAATGCTCAAAAATTTGAACAAGCATACATTTTTCGTCTTTTGTCACTCTTTTTCTATTGCTGTTTTCCATTTTTCCTATTAATTAAAATGGCGCATATTTATAGTCATATTTAGTTCACAACTAAGTCGAAACTATCCTAAGTTACAACTAAAGCTATTCATAGTCGCCTTAGTTTCGACTTTTCTGGCTAAGTACCAACTTAAAATTTAGTTTCGGCTGCAGCTGCAATTAAGTCGTAACTAGGAAGAAGTATTTTATTAAATTAAGGAAAAAAAAACGAAATATGCAAAAATTATTAAAAATTTAATGATCTCCAATTGAAATTTACAAAGAGCGATCCATTTGAATCGGAAGATGAAATAAAATGCGTATTACAATTCGAATAAGGCTACATCACAATTTTATAATTAGAATGATTTACATATATAAATGCTGAAATAATAAGTCAACTTCAAGCTTGTTCTTTTAAAGCAAATTAGTGCATAACATTTAGATATGTGTTTGTATGTTTCACAGCATGCTTTCGATAAACATCGACTTCACATCATTGCGGTAGTTCTGGCTATTTCACACACAAGAAACTTATACCTTATTCTTTTGCATAAACATGCAATGAAAGTAAAAATTACATAAACGGATTATCAAACTTGACATTATTTAATAAAAATGTCATTTTTCGAAAATATCGTAAAGAAAAATCGATACATTTTCACAGTCGTTTTGCAATATCGTAAAACTAAGTTAAAACTACTTAGTAGAAGTCTGAAATGCGACTATGAATAGAAGTGAATTTTAAGTTGGTACTTAAATTTAAGTTGCAACTTTATTAGTTTCGACTTAGTGGCTGGACTATGAATACGCGCCAATGTTTTTTATACAGTTCAGCAGTTTAAACGAACAACGATGGAAATATTAGCTCTGATTTGTTGATATATTCTCGTCGCCAATTTTACACTTTTCAAGCGAAAAATGGAGATTTTTAGCGATGCAAAATACGCTACGCAATACCGTTCACTCATTTTATCCGGTTCGTTTTGTTAATCGCTAAAATCTGCCAAAAAAATTAACCGAAAAATAACGATTTTTGGAGATGCCTTTTTAAGATAGAATCGCGAAAGTCGGTAAGAATTGCTAAAATTCATTTAGCATTTTTTGGCGATGGAGTTTTAACGATAACGAAAGTCGGAATGCGGCTGCAGCTTCTGTTAAAGTTCTGTTCAAGCGCTTAACCAGACATTAAGTAAACGGCCCTCAGAATTTTAGACAAAAACCCGTCGAATGTCACACTAGACTTTTATGTTAATTTATATTAAATACATTTTCCATAGCATATGTATATGTACATATATACTTAGAAAATTTTAATAATTGCATCTTTTCTAGGCATACCCCATCTGTATATTCAGCAGCATCTAGTTTTAGAAGTCCCTATCCCTCATCATTACCCATCAACACAACGTTATCAAGGTAAATTTATTCGCAAACATATATGTATGTACATATACTCATGCAAATATTTATTTATAGATATGAAATAACATAAACAAAAATAAAAATAAATAAAAAGTAAGTGCGCTTGGGCTCATAACCAATATACATATGTACATATATATGTACATACATATATACATCTGCTTTTGCTTAAGGTTATGTTTTTTTCTTTTTTTTCGATCTATAACCCTACCTGTTCGTTCTAATACCATTTATGTTATTCTGTTTTCCTTTATTTTAATTTTTATCTTTAAACTCTATCGATAACAAAATCGATAGTAACATCCAACAAAATATAGATAACAAAACCGATAAAAATATCGATAACAAAATCGATGACAAATTCGATAAAAATTTCAATAGCAAAATCAATAACAAAATCTATAACAAAAATCGATTACCAAAACGATAAATAATCGATAACAAAATATCGTAAAAATATCGATATCAAAAATTGATTCGAATATCGATAACAGAATCGATAAATAATTGATAACAAAATCGATGGCAAAAATCGATGACAAAATCTATAACTATATCGATAGCAAAATCAATAACAATATCGATATCAAAATCGTTTAAAATATCGATTAAAAAATCTATAACAAAATCGACAAAAATGTCGATAACAAAATCGATAAATATATCGATTATATCGACAAGTTCCGAAAATATCGATGGCAAAATCGATAACAAAATCTATAAAAATATCGATAACAAAACCAATAAAAATATCGATTATTATATCGGTATGTACCGAGAATCCCGAAAATCTCCACAATCCCAAAATAGTTCCCCGATTGAGTCTCTGTGTCTCTATCTTTATCCTTTTTTCTAAAATTACCTTTATTTTAATCTTTTTCCCTCTGTCTTCATCTTTACTTTGATCGGTATCCTCATCTTCACCTTTTTGTTTATATTTATCTTTGTTTTTACTTTTATGCTTATCATTTTCTTCATCTATATGTTTCCCTGCACCTTTGCCCTTATATAAGCAAAGTGTTTAAATTTTTCTTAGCCTTCATTTTTGCCTTTATCTTTACGCATCTTTGTTTTTGTTTATATTTTTACCTTTGCCTTTATCCTTTTCTTTATCTATGTACGTACTCACCTTTACTTTCATTCTTGTATTGGTCTTTTTCTAAGTCTTATTCTTTAACCTTTTATTAGCAAGTTTTTGTTAAATTCATATGTGCATACACTCAAGAAGCACTTGTTTCGGCTCCAACCATTTCCATGTGCAATTTCCATTGCACCATTTCCGTGTGCAATTTCCGTTGATTTGCCAATTTACTCCCAACCAACCAACCGCCTCTAAAGAAGTTTCACTTCAATCAATAATAACAACAAATAAATTAGTAATAAACTTGTGCAACAATTTTATGTTTTGTTTTTGTCGTAACTTTTTTATTTGTACACAGAGAAGGTTACCTATGGCATAGTTCGTCAAACAAATGGCGGATCTTTGCTGTCTTGAAGCACTCTTTCCTTCAAATTTTCCAAGAGCATTTATCGCAGCCTGATTTTCAATCAGGTTCGGTCGAAACTTTTATAAAAATTTTAATTAATTAAATTGTATTCAACAATTTTTATTGAGCATGACATAACTTACAGAAGATTTCCTCGATAATCTTGTGGAAGTTATGTCATGACTTAACTTCTACAATAATTAGATGGCCAAAGAGGGGGAGCGACATCCAGTGAGCGATCGGAGCGCTCCGCTCCCCTCTGGCAATCTAATTATTACTATTTAAGTGGCAGCAAAAATCAATTACGGCTTCAGGTCAACCGTGACAATTTGATATTTATTTTTTTTTTCATTTATATGATTTTATACTAACGATAAATTATAATATCATTCGCACAACACTTTGAATATTTACTTGGCATTCACGGCAATTTTCAAACTTTGAAGGATTAAGACAGAATTCGCATATTGTTATATGACAACCGGGAATAAATAAAATTTCGCACGGATTTATTTTATAGTTTATACAGGTTTTGAGATTTCCAAAACTTAGAACTCCTTGAGGCTCGTCAGAAGTGTTTGCTTTCGAATTTTCCTTAGAAAACTCGATCAAGTCATCATCCAATTCGTCCTCAACTTCAATGTCTTCTTCATCGTTTTCTAATGAAGTTTTCTCGACTACCTCTTCTAAAGCCACCTTCGATAAAAATTTTTGATATTTATTTGGTTCTCTCACAATAACTTGGAAGCCTTATCGATTTCAGAATCCCGCCGAAGGGTTTGTGTTTTTTCTTGAGAGGTGGCTGATAACCATCATTCATAGCTCGAAGCGAATTAAAACTGAAGAAATTCCCGTTAATAGGAAAACGTTTTCCGAATGCAGCATTAGCTTTCTAAAGCCGAAGTGGTCCGAATTTTTAAACAGAAAACAGATAGTTCATTCAAAATTTTCTAAAAATAAAGCACATAGTTAAAAAAGAACCGTATAAGTCATAAGAGTTCCGCTCACCGGTTTTAACCAACAGCTTCGAAAACATTCGAAAATTGGCTGCGATGCTACCAAAATCTTATATCCATTACTTTATCTCGTGAAAAAATCTAATTTTGCGCCTTCGAGCTTTGACACTAAAATTTAAGATTTTTTAAAGTGGAGTTCAGCAATTTGTGTAGTGAGCGGCTCATTTAATATACGATATTATCATGGAACTGACATAACTGCTAGTAATGTCAGACTTTACCTACTTCCATAGACCAAAAATCGATCGATGGTAGTAATTTCACTTCAATAGAACTTATGTCACTGCTCGTTGGAAGTTATGTCCATGGAAGTTATGTCGAAACCCCTCCCAGTGACGGCGGTTGAAGACGTCTTATGAGATGTTGTGATCTCCGATATAGCAGCCATAACTTCTAACGCGAAAGCGACCAACACAAATCGATAGAACTTGACGTAAAAAAAAAACTCTAACAGCGTTTTGAAAAATTAGCTCGCTTTCAAAAGTTATAGCGGGTCAAAATTTAGCTTGGATAGGGACCGAACGATACTATCGATATTGAGTAAGTATCGAAACTGAGGGTATAAAACTGAGTACTTTAATACTCGATACCTTATTTGGTGATTTTACTGGATACTTTGCAAAGTACTCGTAGTATCAAAAACTTTTTAAAAAACACACTTTTTAAATTTTTTCTTCCATTGCTTTCTTTGCTTATATGGATTACTATCATTCAATTTTGTCCATCATTTAAAATAAACTTAAATTGCGTGCAGTCTGTTGCATAACATAAACCAAATAAGTAAGTTAAAGTTTAATGGTCTTATTCATAAAAAATAAAGTACGTTTAAAGAGCTTAATAAAATGACATTTTCATTCAGTTTATAAACCTTTTTTTATTTTTTATGAATAAGGCCATAAAACTTTACGCAAAGTTCACGAAAATGCAGAATTTATAAGATATTCGCAGTAGAATCCCAATGCCTGATTTTAATAGTTTTTCAATAAATATTTTCAATTTATCCATTCAATTTATGAATTTTGAAAATATTCATGAGAATTTGAGTTTATCAATTTTTATCAATTCAATTTTCAATCAAGTCAACTTATATAACTTAAACTAAAAGAAAAATATATTTTTGTATCAATACTGTATTGAATTATAAAATTTCATATGGCGAAATCGAATTTTTTTTCTGATATGTTTGATGATATTCCTTAAATAAAAACCTTCTTTTTCTGAAATATATCATAAATTATCTCAAAATTCATTAATTAAATGGATAAATTGGAGATATTTATTAAAAAACTATTAAAATCAGTAGGCATTGGAGTGAATATCTTCTAAATGGTTACATTAATCGATTAACTACATGAGACCTTTTTTGTAGAGCATTTAACTCCCTATAGAAATGATTGAAACTCATTCGACAATAATTATTTTTTTGGTAAGTTACAAAATTCAAAACAAAAAAAGTTATTTTCCTTAAAATACTTCAATCTTTGACCTTGAATATCTTTTAAATGGTTAGATTAATGAAAAGCGTATATGAGACCATTTTTGTAGAGCGTTAATTTCCTATTAATATTGACGATGCAACTGGTTTAACGATCTATTGGTGATAAGATATGACCATTTTTATATGAGACTAAATTGAAAATGGAAAACTATGAAGAGCATAATCTTCCCGTTAATATTAAGAGCTCAGATTTGGTAAGTACTTTCTAGAGGTACCTAGGAACTAGTTTTCGTGTGTCGGATCCTAATATATATATATATATATATATATATATATATATATATTTGTATGATTAAACTTACTTCTAACGTGAAAGTAAGTTCTGCAATGAAATAAAAATCAAATATTTTAAATTTATTTGTTTTAATTTCAGGAAATAACAAAATATACGATTGAAGAATAAAATAATTTTAGTATCCCAAAAAACGTATTTTACTGAGTCCGATACTGAGTAGTATCGAGACTTTTTCTCTGATACTTTTAGAGTATCGATACCATGAGCTCGATGCCAGAATGAGTACTCAGTATCGATACGAAAGTCTGAAATTTCGAACCCTAAGCTTGGATATATATATCGATGTGTTCAGAAAAGCGATAAGAATTGATTTAGTCATGTTTGGCTGCCCGTTCGTTTTTACGTCCGTCTGTCTGTGCAAGCTCTATCATAAGTAAAGTTTTAGTTATCTCGTTGACACTCGGTACACAGGTTGTTACTAGGACAAGTGCTATTTATTGGTATTGAACATGGGCGAAATCGGTCAATAACCGCGCATACTTTTCATATAACCGCACTTCTGGAAAACCCTAAAAGCAGAGATGCTCAACAAACTATATGAATCCATTTCGTTTTGTTGATGCGCAAAAATAACTTATCAAAATAGGCTCACTTCCAAAACGTATCAATACAATGTTTGGAAACTGTTATACTGCGGTATTCAAACTATTTTTATATGCAGAGTTGCGACACATTGCAACCATATACATTGATAATTTTAAATATTCAATATAGCAATGAACAATTTCTCTGATTTTTCCATTTTTAAAACACCAATGGTAACCAATAACAAACGAAGCATCAACTTTGTTTCTGATGCGCTGATTGCTCTAGCGATGCGTTTCGATAACTTTTCGGATACGTTTTGGAAAAGTATACATTGTCAATATTTTGTAGTTCGGCGTTATGGAACATTTTATTTTGTACGTATGCAAAGCAATTGGCGTTTTGGAAGTCAGCCATAATTTTGTTTCGTTTCAGAGCTGAATTAACGAAACGAAACTCAATCGGTAACGTTGAAACGAAATAAATCATCAATCGTTAACATCGAAACTAAATAAATCAACGAAAAGTTGTGTTTGAATGCCATTGCCAGCAGCGTTGCCATTTTAGCCGTTTTCCGGCTTGATTTAGCCGGTTTTGATAGCAACTAGCCGGAGAAAATTCGATCTAGCCGGCAGCCGATTTGTTAGCTGGTTTGTAAAAAAAAGTTAGCCGTTTTTAGCCGATTTTACTATTTGCCTAATTTTCAGGTGCAAAAAGTAAACAAGTTGTTCGAAAGCAATAATGCAGACCCAATGAAGATTTTTAATGAACTCAATGTTTTACTTTCGCATCTATGCTCCCTAGTGGTTATTAGCGCGGACACATTTGATCCTATATGCTCCCCGTTGGAACCATACCTTGCTCCATTTCCTCAGTTTTATCACAGTTTTGAAGAGTATTTAAAAACAAAAGTAAGCACAAACGCTTTTGACCACGAAGCCGAGAAAATAATTCGAGAAAATTGTCGCTATTTTATTATCACTTTAATAAAGGAATTACGCCAACGCCTCCCTACAAATATTGCCACACTACAAAAAAATTACTTTTTTCGGTTGGAAATGTATTAAGAGTAATTAAACCAAAAGTATTTGTTCAACTACAGCAACAAAAGCACAAATATAATGCCGACGAAATAACATCCATAGAGATGCAATGGCAACGGTTAACGTTACATACCTGGAGTAATTTAGACTCAACTGTAAAATTTTGGGCCGAAGTTTATCAATTTCGAAATGCCCTAGGAGAAAACCCTTTTGCCGACCTTTGCAACCTAGTTTTTAGTTTTCTTGTTTTGCCTATAAGTAATGCAGAAGTAGAGCAAATATTTAGTTCAATGAATATAATAAAAACTAAGCAAAGAAATCCAATATGCGTTAAAACGTTAAACGCTATTTTATATATAAGATACGGTTTAAAACGTGAAGAAAAATGCTGCCATAATTTTACTGTAGATGACGATCTCTTAAAATTAATGAATTAAGGTGATATATACAATAGTGATTCATTTGATGATGAGGAATATACACTCGATATAAATTAATGGTGTTAACTAGTCTTTAGTTTCTTGCGATTTATTTAAATAAAGCATGTGAATTTTCACTAAAACATTTTAGACGTTTCTTGCCAGAGTCTATGTGAAGTTTCACTACAACATTTTAGCCGCTTTTTTTTTTGCCAATCTAGCCGGTCGGCCCAAAAAGTTCTGGCAACACTGATTGCCAGCTCACTATTAACACCTAGCACCTAAATGCATGCTACAGTTGCAGTGTCAACGATGGAATTTCTTTTCGTTGAAAACCAAAATAGAATTATTTTGATAATTACCTAAACGATAAAAAACTTAATCGTTTCAACAGAAACGAATGCTTTTTTTTTTGTAAACAGTAAAATTAACGTTACAATGCATCCTTGCCTAAAAGACACATATTTCGGCAATTAATAAAGCGAAGTTCTTCAAATTTATTAAGTAGGTTGACTCTAGGCATGACATCCGTTTCTGCATAAGGCTGGAACACACCACGTCAACTTTCCATATAAGAAACTTTAAATACCACATCGAATTTCTGAAATATAAGACAGATATTTTTTATTTGACTTATTTGCAACACTTCAGCTAACGCTTACCAACTGAATCAGACGAACAAGGCGAGCGGTATCATCAGCTTACTCTTCCTTTGGAGATGAGGTAAACTTTTACTAAACTCTATTTGACCATTAAAGTTAAATTGACTTATAACGTTTTAAAGATACAGAGGAAAGCAATCGCCTAATGCAATATTAGCGGACGTTTGTTGGTGGAGTATGAAGACGTACGAAGAACAAGATGAAGACACGGAAGAGGAAGTAATAGAGCGCGACGTAAACAATTTACTGGATGATTACATTGTATCTGACAATGAATATGAATAAATTTTTTAATGAAAATTTTATTTTTTTAAATGCAAGGGCCAAATTTTGAACGCCAATATTTTTTGAAAGCGAGCTAACTTTGCAAAACCCTTTTAAGGTTAGAAAAATGCGTTTCACAGTGTTATAAGCGGCCTCAAGCTCAATAAAATTATTGAATATAATAACAAAAACAAATAAAAATCAATTATATTTTTTTAAACGTTTTTTTAATAGGTAATTACATAGTTTGCTATTCCACAATAGTTATTCATTAAAAACGGCCTCAAGCTCAATAAAAATTGTTGAATATAATTGTTATAAGGCCATAAAATAACAAAAACAAATAAAAATCAATTATTTTTTTAACGTTTTTTTAATAGGTAATTAGTTTTAGTTTCTCTTAAAAATTTTTTATATTAGATCCCAATATGAAATAAAAACCGCATGAAAGGGATAAAGGAGTTATCAAAGTGAAAATGTGTTTCAACGCTTAAAATTTATAAAAATTATAAAATGCAACAGTTCAACTTATTTTAATTTTTATAACATTATTAACACTATACTGACAGCAGTCTAACTGTGGTACACAAACTACTGTCAAATATTTTTCGCTCTTCAAAGGTGACTCCACTCAAAATTTGTCATTTTTGAAATTATGCACTGAAAATGTTAACAGACCTTTTATTTACCTTTCAGCAAAAACTGTAACGAAGTTTTGTTGTAAGTTGCTGAAAAATTTTAATGTAAAGTCTCCTTTTCTCATACTTGGCGTGTTTAGTTTTATTCTACATTGCTCTGAATTTTTTAATAATTTTTTTAATTAATCATATCTTTGAAATTGAAAGTTCTTTACAAAAAGTCCTAACATAAAAAAAACTAAAAACGCAGTTTTACTATATTTGGCCTCCAGTTTCGTGAGCATATTAATTTTTTCCTGTGCTTTGAAACGTTTTGGTTTTAGTCGCACGGTGATATATGATTAGCATGTGCTATGAAATGGTTCTGAGTTGTGTAATTTTTGAAGTGGGTTTTCGATATACATGTACAATGCATAAACCTTTCAAACGTGTTTCTTTCCCACAGTGATTTCCCATTCCGATTTTCACCGAATCTATTGCCTTCAGTACATACCTCACCGCATCATGTACTCAATTCACATCCAGCGATTGTTACACCTGGTCCAAAACAGGACTGCAGTCAAGAGCCAACAACGAATCATAGATATTCCAGGTGAGTTGAAGTTTTACGTATAAACAAATGGGATTTAAATTCATTCGAAAAGTTGCCTTGGGATATGTTTATACAATTACTAGCCTATACCTGCCGGTTTCACCCCAGGTTTTTATACAAATAAGCAAAATATTTTTAGAACGTTTTATTATATGCATTTCTGCTCTTATTTTACTATAGCTCAGGCCCGGCCGCAAGGGGGAGAGAAATATGCATAAAATTTGCCGTCACTTAGTTTAAGATAATAATGGTATAAAATACTTTAAGATATCAGCAATTATTATTGAGCGTGAGGCCATTTCTAATGGTTCATATCCCAGTGACCGGGGTGAAAAAGTGTGATGAGGAGATGTGGTGATAGTAGCTTTAACTTCTGGGTAAATTGTTGTTGTTTTTCCACATCATTTTTCATTAGAAATGGTCTGAAGCGCAATCAAAATTGTTGAATATAAGAGTCGTTTTAAATAGCGATTCAAAGACAAATCGAAGGCTGAGGGAAGATCGAGCTAACTCGGCAGCCAGTTCAAAAAAGCACTATCTCAGAAAACTTTTCAAGAATGCAATACTTCGGAATTTGTATAAAAAAATTGCAGCCAAATATTGTGTTTGAAAAGATATTATAGTATACATTGGATTTTGACCGCTTTCGATGAAAGCATTGCGTGCACTTTATGAAATAAATTTAAGTTTTATGAAACGTACGTTTTATGTCAAGTCCTATATTTGCACATTACTCGTTCTTGTTCTAAAATTTTTTTTTTTAGATTTTGGATGATTATTTATTTTTTGAAACGTACAAAATTAAAAAATTATACTAGCGAGTATTGTGACATATTTGGATTATTTGTATAGCGTCAGCTATTGGTGCTAATAATTTTATAATATTTTATTATTTTTATAATTTTCTAGAATCATGTGAAATATATATTTTTGTACAAGAATTCAATGTACAGTTGGTGTAACCAATGTCAATGACACTTCGTTTTGAAACCTATAATAAACGATCAAAAATTCTATCCCACTTCTTCCTCATTTTTTCTAAAAGCAAATAAAAACAAGTAAAAGTATATAACAAATGATGGTCACAAGTCAAGGTGCAGGAATCGTATTTTCAGAGATAGTAGTCGAGAGTTCTAGCTTTAATTTAAGCCAGGAAGGTTCTATCACCTTTTGTTTCTTTACTAGGCTTCTTAAATATTGCAAACAACCCAATTTTTTGACACCTTGACCTAATTTTTTTTTAAATCTGGAGCTGATGGAAACTTTATGCCAACGGATTCGTATTTAGAACAAAAAAAATCTATCAAACACGGCTCTAGCATTTGCCGTACCAAAGTTTTTTTTAAATTTTTGTTGGGCTGTGTTATCCATTAAAAATTATCAGAAATTCAGATTCAGATAAATAACATCACGCATGTGCAGGCAAGGGCAGAGAACGAGCACACAATGGGCTAGCTTTTTTCAATATTCATCGCAATCTAGATTCTAGATGTTAATGTTGACTCAGTATTAAAAGAATTTGTATCTATACCTCGGTAAATTGCATGAAACTTTTCTTTGAGTTGTGCTGAATTATATCCACAATTAAATACAAAATGCTGAATACTCTAAATAAAACAATGATATACTTGGTTGTTACGAATGACTTTACATAACCACCACTCTTGTCAATAAGAATACGATGTATTTCAAATATTTCCCTACCAAGTTCCAGTACTCTAACTTAAGGACTTCGAGAGAAACACAGTATCAAAAATTCTGTTTATACGGGGGTGCCACGCACCCTTTTCCAATAACTCATACAGAATTGGTTTGGAATAACTTGATTCCAAGTTCCAATACTCTACTATAAAATCTTCCAGAGATAAACCGTATGAAAAATTTAGTTTATATGGGATGTGCCACGCCCTCCTTTTCAATATCGCTCATTTTTCTCTATGACTATCAGTTGCATATATCTCCATACCAAGTTCCGGTACTGCACAACAAGGCTTGCACTTCTAGAGATACAAAGTATGCAAATTTCTACAGGAGGTGCCATGCCCCTATTTTCAATAACGCCTATTACTCGCGATGAATTTGGGATATATTTCGTATACATAATCTCCCACCAAAATGCAATTATCTGTCACAACTACTTCCAGATATATGAGTAGTATAAAAAATGCAGTTTAAATTAGAGGAGCCACGCCCCTTTCCCAATAACGCCGTTAGTACTAAATTAAATTAACATATCTTCGTGCCAAATTTCATTGCTCTCTAAAAATACTTTTCGGGATATATTTGCATCATAAAAATGTATATCTGTATAGGCGGGGCTGCACCCCTTGATATATCGAAATTGCCTATGACCTTCCCTAGGATCTCTGCAGTAGAAGTGTCCAATTTGGTATGAGCGCCCTTCAAATATATGGGGGAAATGTATGAAAGAAATATTTCCCACTTAATTTTAAATAATGGTGATTTCGTTTCTTCCAAAAAATGTTGTCCTTCCCCGGTGCAAAATGTGTTAGATGTTGCACTCAACCCTGTAAAAGGGCATGTTTTTGCCTCTTATCTGTGTCTAGCGCACGCAATTTATAATATTGTCGTTTTCAGCAACTAACCGATTTTCAGGGCAACCTTCACCCCTGACAAAGCTTCAAAGGGCAGGGAATGTGCCTTCTTATATAGGGGGGTAAGAATTTCAATTACACTCTCGGTATTGTGATTCTACTTCCGGAACACTTTCGTGCTAATTGAAATTTTTTTCTGATATGAAGTTGGCTATTTCTAATAGATTTTGTCTCTGAACTCATATCTGAAAAATATGCACAGCATTTTACAGGTATCTCTTGTCCTTTCACAAGCCGCACAGTGCGCTTTTTGAACACTGCATGCGAATTAATCGTAGTGCTTTCGACAGAAGCAGCATTTTGATACGAATCAAAATGGTTTTAAAAGCTAAAAAAATCCCTTTCAACTGTGGCTATTGCGCCGCAATTACCCCTTGACCTTAAAAAAATTGGTCAAAAGTAGTGTTCTTCGAAAAAAGCATGCAAAATCCACGGGCTTTATTCAAAAAACAAAAAATTTATGTATTTTTTATTCTACTAGTACAGTGAAACCCGCTTAATTTCAAATTAGGTAAAAAAATTCTAAAAAATCAACGGCAACTTTTATCCACTTGAAACTTGCACATTATTGCACTTAAATCGAATGGACTATAAAACTGTATACACAAAAACACTTCTGATAAACAAGTTTGAAATTATGATGATTTTTTTTTAAGTGTTCTACAAAATCTTAAGCTTTATATGTTATTTGTTAGGGAATGAACTGCATTTTAATTGATTGAAAAACCTTAAAAATTAATAAATAAACATAAGTGGCAAACAATATCATTTGAATTTAGTACAAAATGATATGTCCAACCTTGACTTTTTAAACATTTTAATTCTTGTAAAAATTACAGACCATTGCACTAAATATTTTTTTAATAATACTTGTTTATGAGTTTACATAATGCTACGATTTTGGTTTTAAACTATGTGTACTTCATTAAATGTTGTTATTCAAGTATTTATGTAAGTTAACAAGAAGATGTAACTACATCAGTAACTATGTTCGCTTAAGTACCCGCATCGAGGTACTTAAGCGGGTTCTTTTAAGTACCCAACCCGCCTAAGTACGTCAAAAAGCTGACATTTTTCGAGAGGTACTTAAGCGGGTTTTACTGTATTACAGATTTTGAGACGAGTAACACGATTCCACTGTTCAAAATTCGAAAACAAATTTTAACACCTTAATTTAAAAAATGCATTATTTATTGCATTTTTTCTATTTGCATGCAGAAGTGCATCCTTCACTCAATTTTATATCACCCGAGAAATAAGTGCAATTCAAGACCTTTAATTTGAGCCAACGTAGAAGCCTGTACGCCCTCTGAGAGCCAAGTTATAACAATTTTAAATCAAACTTCGAAACTGCTGTACTAGTTTTTACTCCGAAATTAGAAAAAAAATTGCATAAAATGTCGAATGAAATTTCGAAGTTTAACTTCAGAATCGTAATAATTTAGCTCTCAAAGGGCCTAGAGACTTAAATTAAAGGACTTGAATTGCTTTTATTGTTCGAGGAATATAAAATTGAGTGAAGGATGCACTGCTGCAGGCAAATAGAATAAAATTATAGTTTAAAAAACTTAAACCTCCCTATTATAATTGCCATTCGTACTGTCATCAGGTATGTAACTTGAGAATAGAAATCGCTGCATCTTTTAGGCGCATCAATATTACATAGTTACATCCCGAGCTAATAAAAGGAAGGTAAACAAGTAATTTTTAGCAAAAAAAAACCGACTTCAACTCTCATATAAAAAAAATATATATATATATATCTCATGATCCGCTGAGCGGATCTTAACCAGATTAGTATGGGACCACCTCTGAGACACTACCTTTCCGATGCAAAAAGAATTATCGAAATCAGTTGACGTGGTCCAAAGTTATGCGGTAACATACATAAAAAAAAAAAAAAAAAAAAATTTCCGACGAACTGATAACCTCCTCCTTTTTTGGAAGTCGGTTAAAAAAAGCAATAAATGATGAATTTTTTAAATTAAGGGGACACAATTTTTTTTCGAATTTTGAACAGTGGAATCGTGTTGCTCGTCTCAAAATCTATAATATTAATATAATAAAAAATACAAAACATGTTTTTTTTTAATATATCCGTCGGATTTTGCAGGTATTTTTTCGAAGAACACCATTTTTGCCCAATTTCTTTAAGGTCAAGGAGTGATTGTGGCTCAATATCAATATTTTTTCTTGAAAGGCAATTACATTAGCTTTCAAAGCCATTTTGTTTCATATCAAAATATTGCTTCTGTCGAAAGCGCTACGATTAATTGGCATGAAGTGTTAAAAAAGCACACTGGGTGCCGTCGAGTTAGCTCGAATATCTCATTTTTCAGTGGAGGAATGTAATTTTGAAATTTTAAAATTACTACGGTGTATTTT